AGAGAGAAGTCATTCCTCAGGGGGTATGGCCACCCCACAATCTCTTCTTCACTCTCCCCTCAGAACTTTGGGCACACAGGCACACATGCACATATGCCTGTCTTGAGCTTCAAGCCGTCAGGTTCTACCTGAACCGCAGCCAGTCCTGTGAGCCTGGCGCCGTAACCACTATGCCACCTGCTGGCCCCAACTCTAAATGTTTAACAGTTTTGAGTGGATTGTGTATGTGGCTACTTGGTTTTAGATTATAACTATCTTGCTATGTGATCTTGGGAAAATCATTGAACTTCTTGGTGCCTCAATTTCTTCACCAGTTGGATGAGGAGCAAAATAAGTATTTGCCCCATAGAGTTATTGTGAGGATGGCTAATATACTCATATATGAAAGGACTTAAGAACAGTGACTAGGAAGGAGTACACTCTTAATCAATGTCACTGGCTATAAGTATTTTTATATTCTTTTGTTCTGCTGACCCGTTCGTGCTCTGGAGCTCAAAGGGGACTGACCTAAGGAAGTCTGAGAAAGGCTCAACTTTATCTCTTAGCATAACTTGAAGATCCTGGTGGAAAAAGTACTGAGAAACAGCTCGGTGTGAACAGTGCGCTTTATTGTTAAAGGATTGGGAGCTTCTGTCCTCTTCTTCTTCCTTTTTGTACCAGCATACCAGTTTGAATACAGTTTTCATGTCAGTGTATTTACTGATCTAATCACCAGCTCAGTTGGGAGAAATACCCAGATTATTTCTTGCGTATGCTTTTCTGAGAAGCAAGGCTCATGGTTTTGTTTAATAGTTCTTAGAACCTAGATGGGCCTTCTGTACTCAGTTTTCCCAAGAATTTTGATCAAAACATAAACCAGGCTCTGAGAAGACATTTTAAAAAATTATTTATTTTATTTTTTATTATTACTTTTTAAAACATTTGTTATAGGGCATGCATACTCACCAGAGAGAGACAGAGAGAGTGGGGCCAACAGGTAGTACAGTGGTGAAGGCACTGGATTCCCACATGGCTGACTGCAGTTCGAAACTCACATCAGGCGTGTGTGCATGCATGCCCAAAATCCCGAGAGGAGAATGAAGGAGAAGGGATTGTGGCATGGCCATCCCTCCTGAGGGGTGTCTTTTTGTCTTTCTGCTGAGCATATGTGCCTTATAGCAAAAGTTTCTCAAAAACATTCAATAAATTAAAAAGAGAGAGAGAGAGAGACAAGATGGGGTGGGGGGGAAGTAAGATGCTGGGACACAAACCACAGTCAGCCATGTGGGAGTCCAGTGCCTTAACAATCACACTGGCCCCAGCAATTTGAAATACTAAAGCCTGGAAGCAAGTTTGGAGAAGAAGTAATTCACTTCAGTTGGGTAGTTCTTCCTCTTCTCTGTGTGTATATGCTTAATTTTAAAATTTTCTAGAATATTATTAAAATACAGATTTGAATATAAGAAGACTACAATAATCACCTTTATATCACTAGATTTAACAGATTTTTAACTTTTTGCTACATTATCTCAAACTATTCTTCCCCAAAAGTAAACACTATTTTGAAGTTAGTGTATATTCTGCTTACATTTATATTCTTTTATCAGATATACATGCATTCAAAAATAAGAGTATTGTTTTGTTTTTAAATTTAATATACAGTAATAAGTTTCATTAAAAATTTTCTTTCTTTCTTTCTCATTTACCATTATTTTTGTTCTTTCTTTAATTTCTTCTTCTTTCTTTTGTTTCAAGCTAAGAGTGGCCTCTCCCTGGGTCTCTGCCTTCTCTTCCCACCTCCCAGTCTGCTCCTGCCAGACGCCCTCAGGGACTACGCTCTGGGGAGAAATGTTGGTGAGAGGCTCCCACAGAGGCCTTTGTCCCATCGTGGCCTCCTTGGCCACGACAGATTGGATCTTCTTGGCTGCCCGCAGCCCAGACTTCATGGTCTTTTATCAGATATACATGCATTCAAAAATAAGAGTATTGTTTTGTTTTTAAATTTAATATACAGTAATAAGTTTCATTAAAAATTTTCTTTCTTTCTCATTTACCATTATTTTTTCTTGTTCTTTCTTTAATTTCTTCTTCTTTCTTTTGTTTCAAGCTAAGAGTGGCCTCTCCCTGGGTCTCTGCCTTCTCTTCCCACCTCCCAGTCTGCTCCTGCCAGACGCCCTCAGGGACTACGCTCTGGGGAGAAATGTTGGTGAGAGGCTCCCACAGAGGCCTTTGTCCCATCGTGGCCTCCTTGGCCACGACAGATTGGATCTTCTTGGCTGCCCGCAGCCCAGACTTCATGGCAGTGTCGATCCAGCCATGGGGCGTGCTGGTGTGCTCGCCAGCGAAGTAGATGCGGCCCTCTGACTCGGAGAGCTCCTGTGAATAGTCGGTGAATTGGTAGGGTGTGAACTCCGCAAAGGCGCCTAATGTGAAGGGGTCCAGGGACCAGCGCTTGACCACAGAGGAGGAGCATATGCGCTGCAGCTTCTTCTTAGAGATCTGGTGCAGAGCCGCCAGGTCATCCAGGACAGTGTCCACTGCCTGCTGGTCGGTCATAGCTGTGAAGAACTGGGAGTCATCGTCCACGGTGTAGGAAGCCAGCAGGACCCCCTTGCCGCTGGGGAAGCTGTGGCTGGGGTAGTAGATGAAGCGCGAGGGCCGGTCAGTGGTGGAGAAGCCACCCCGGATGCCATCCTGTTCCCAGAAGAGCTCGTCACAAGCCAAAACCACCTTGGTAGCACTGGTGTAGTGCACGGAGCGGAGGGCATGGTTCTTTTCAGGGGACAGGGGTGGCTGGAAGGAGATGCGGCGCGTGGCCTTGGCGGAGGTGGAGATGACCACGAAGTCGGCCGTGAGCGTGCGCAGAGGGGAGCTGGGCTTGCCTGTACGGTATGAAACCCGGACCTCAGGCCCATTTCTCTCCACCATCTCCACCTTGGCCTCCAGAAGGATGGTACCAGGCTTCAAGGTGTTGCTGAGGGCTTTGGGGAGCTGGTCAAAGCCACCGGTAATCTCAGAAAAGCTGCAGAGGTGAAGAGAGGAGAGGAGTGAGGGTGGGAAGAATGGTCAGGCCCATGTGCTCGAATGCCACGTGCATTCCTGGTGGAAATGGGGACGGGACTAGCCTGTGCTGGGAGCTTCATGTACGTCACCTTAATTAATATGCAGCCCTCTGGCAGGAAGAGATTACTGTTTGAGTTTGGATAACTGACAGAAGAGAAATGACTGTCCCAAGATCACATAGATCCTAGCCTGTGGGTTTAGCCACTCCAAAAGTCTACTCCCCAGTAGGTGCTCTACAGACCTGGGTATGGAGTCTGGCTCCAGCTCTGCTCAAGCTACATGAACTTGGATAAGTTCCATAACTTCTCTGAGCCTCAGCATGTCACCTGTGACATGGCTCTGAACAACTGCACCAACTTTACAGAGGATGGTGAGAATAACATGTGACACATCTTGCAAAGTGCCAAGCACAGTGCCTGGTACATGATACTCACTAAATCACAGTCCCCTTTCTCTGAGATGAGTGTTGGAGGAGAGGGTCAATGCTAGTCCTGGGCCCAGATCGGCCTTACTCATCACATTTTTAAAAAAATATTTGAAAAAATTTATTACTTTATTTCAAAAAAAATTTTTAAGAGTTTTTGCTATAGGGCATGTACGCTCGCCAGACAGAGAGAGACAGAGAGACAGAAAGCGAGAAATCACCCCCCAGGGGGGATGGTCACGCCGCAATCCCCTCTCCTCCATTCTCCTCTCGGGATCTTGGGCACACACACACGTGCCTGGCATGAGTTCCAAGCCACCAGGTCCGGGACACGAACCGCGGTCAACTACATGGGAGTCCAGTGACATAGCCATTACACTAACAGCTGGTCCCTCAAAAGTTTTAAAAAAATTTATTTTACATCCATTTATTGTATGTCATCGCAGCAAACAAAATGAATTTTCCCATCCAGAATACACTGTATATTGACTTGATCCAATACACCCCAACTAAAAGATGGGCAAATGAGCAGAAAAGACAGTCTCTAACGAAGACATAGGAATGGGCAAAAGCATATGAAAAATGCCCAATATCCCTTATCATAAGGGAGATGCAAATCAAAACCACAATAAGATACCACTTACTCATCATTTCTGGAGAAGATTATCTCAGACCGCAGGGACTCCAGGAAGGACTTATAGTACCCTGCATCCTCGTTCAGCATGTCCCCAATCAGCCTTACTGCTTCTGAGCTCAGCCGTCCTTCTTTCAGCAAGTAAGCCTGTGGGGAGGGGGTCACATGGATGGAAGTGTCAGGTGGGAGACCCTGGATGTAGGACTGCAGGTAGGTGAAAGCTTTGGTGGTGGGAAGAGAGTGTCTTCCAGTGGGCTGGGTTGAACACTCCCCTACCCCATCCTGGAACCTCTTTGTCTCACTCACCTTGGTGGAGTAGGAATCATAAAAGGACATCAGGTGACTGCAGTTGAACGTTTTCAGACTTTGTCTGAACTGCAGAAAGGAGGGAGAGGAAGGAGCATTAGCTTAACTGCAGGACACCTGAGTTCTCTGGATGTCTCATGAGGAGGGCAGGGGAAGGAAGTAGGGGATGGAAGGACACAGGAAGGGTGATTCCAGCAACTTCTAAATGCTCTTCTTTCCTCAAGTACCTCCCTTTCACTTAAAATTTAAGGCAAAGGAAGACTGCTTCACACCAAGGATTGGGTGATCTCGTGATTCCTTTTGCTCCCACTGCTGCTGGTCAAGCCGTTGGGCCACTGAGAAGCCACCCAGGAGAAGGGAAGGGGCTGGGTACTGGGCCTGGGCTGGCAATATCTTTAGGGGACCAATCATAAAGCACACCCCTCACAACAGCACTGGCTAAGTGTCAAGTGACTGGGGGCTATCCATTAAGTTGTCAAGTGATATTAAGACAAACCCTCTTCCTCCCCAACCTGGCTGGGGTGAGGCAGGAGGCACCTTGTTGATGGACTGGTAGAAGAGATCCGCAGCACTCATGCCCCTCTCCCTGGAGTTCAAGGAATAGCCCAGGAGTTCTGGGTTGGCCTTGACCTCCCAGGTGCGATAGCGGTGTCCATTGATGAAGATCCAGGTGTTGTTGTTAGATTGGATGAACTCGTTCAGCTTCAGGCCAAGCTTCTTGACAAACGTGCGGACCAGCCTGGAGCAGAGACAGACTTAGCAGGGCCCCCATCTCAGTGGCCTTGCTCCTACCAGCCCTGCCATGAATGCCATTTCCAGGAATACTAGTCTCTGTATACCCAGGGGGCTCAGACTAACTGCTTCCTCAACTCTAAAACTGTTTCCGTTTGCTGTGAGCATTCATTCTTGGCCTCCTGTTTTGCTTCAACAGATTCATTCATTATGGAATGAGGCCCTGCAGGAAACCCCTGCTCATAGGATTCAAAATTAGAGATAGAGGCCTTTTGTTTCGGACAAATTTGAAAAATCCTGTTTTCCATTTCTAAATAACTTTGAGGCCTTGTCTGAAGACTCCTGCTTTGGGTAGTTTCAGTTGTTTTTTGTTTTTGGAGGGAAATTTGGGGTTCAATACATTTAACAGAAGTCGTATTTGTGGAGTTCTATGGGATATCATCCCAGGGATCTGTTTTGCTTTGGAAGTTTCAGAACTGGAGCTCTGGTTCCCTGTCAGGAGTCAGATATGGCTTAGGGGAAAAGCATGTGCAGAGAGCTTGCTTCATTTTGAGAAAGAGCTTTGTCACCTTTTCCAATCGTTTGATGTCTCTAAGCCCAGTTTTTTGATTTGTCAATGGGAATGATAAGATTATAAAATTATAGGGGTGTGAAAATTAAATGGTGTACATAGATCTTAGCATGGGTCCTGGCACATAGTAAGTCCTCAACAAATAGTAGCTATTATTATTATTAATAATATTTTATAGCTTTATATTTGGTATATAAGAAGTATATTTGGTATATAAGAAACTGCCCATGGGGCCAGCACATGGTGTGGTGGCTAAGGGGCTGGACTCCCACACAGAGAACTGTAGTTCAATGCCAGTCCTGGCATCTTGCTGTCTCACTCCCCTACCCTGGTCAAAAAAAATTAGTAATGATAATAAGTAAAATTAAATTAAAAATAAAAAAAAACTGCCCGTACACAATTGAAAGTATACAATTTGACCCAGCCATGGCAGCACAGTGGTAATGTAACATTCTGCAGTGTCAGAAGCTATCTGGAAAATGGGGTTCAGTTCTTGTACATGCCTGGTGCATGTGTGCACCCGTGGTCCCGGCTGGCTGAAGGGCTGGTTTGGGAGGGATCACTGTGTGAGACCCCATTGAGGTTCTTGTTTTTCAAAGAAAGAAAGAAGCCTTAAAAAGAAAAATTTAAAGCACATAATTGGATGAGCTAATGGTAGCTGACATAGTTGTCAGCTTGGACAACACAGCTCTGTGTGGCCCTGGGTTCTGGGTTGCCGTCTTTTCCTCTGTTAAATGAGAGACAGTGTTGGCTTACAGGGTGAGCCACGTGATACAGCGAACCTGCAAGGGCTTCAACATGAGGGCAGCAGGGCCCTGCTTGCCTCTTCCTCATCCCTCCTGCTTGCCCTTTGTGCCATCCCGTTCCCAGACTTACCTGTGGGACTGGGGGATTCTCATGGGCCCCAGATCACAGTACCAATCCTCCTCCTTGTTCCTGAATGTGAGTATTCGACCTCCGGTGCGGTCGCTGGCTTCTAAGATGGTTACCTGTAGTCCAGAGAAGCTGCTGTGGTTCCTAGAGACATGCCGACCCTTCTCCCACCCTCTCTGCCCACCCCGACAGGGGCACATGCTTTGGCCTGGATTTCCAGCATCAGGATGATCAGAAGGGCCTTGGGTGATGTAAATGAAGTAGAACAGCTTCCATGGGAAGGGGACGGAGCCTCCTTGGCCCTTGCCTTTTAACAGGCCCTTCAAGTTTGTTTCCACACAAGTGACACAAGGGACAGCAATCAAGCATGAAGACTTGAGAGACCCATTGTGTCGTGTGTAGCTGTCCCAGCGTTGGCTGTGCCCCATTCTTTTTCTTTTCCCACTCAAAGAAGCAAACCAGCATCAAATAATTGAGGCCCCTCCAGGGTCTACTCACCTGGTGGCCAGCATCCTGTAGGGTCTTGGCCGCTGTCAGGCCTGAAATGCCAGCTCCCACGACCACCACCCGCTTGGGCAGAGGAGAGGTGTGTAGACCCTTCTGGGCCATTACGAGTAAGGACTCATAATCAGGGTCCTGGAAGCACTGGGCCAGGTCCTCATAGTAGCCAAGGCAGCTGGCGATAGCCAGCAACAGCCCCAAGACGATCACTCCTGGGGACAGAGATAGGAATGAGGGTGGTCTCTCTGGGCCCTGGGCTCTGTGCCCTGCCTGCCCTACCCAGGACAAGCTTAGCTTTGTGAACAAATGCAGGGTGGTCAGGGCGGGTCACATGTGGTGAGTGTGTGGTTGTGAGTGTGTGTATTTGTTACTGTGTCTGTGTGGGGATGGTAGCATGGGGGATGGATGTGTGTGTGTGTGTGAACTGTGCAGTGTCAGTAGTGTGATTAATGTGTGATCGTGAAGTGGGCTGCAAGTTCAGGGGATGCCTGTGATTGGAAACTCATGGGTGTGTGCAGGTTCGTATTTGACTGTAACTGGGCCTGTTCTTGATGGTGAGTGTGCATGTGAGTGTGTAAGGGACTACAGTTCTGTGTGTGTGCCAGCTCATGTGAAAGACTGTGTGGTTGTCGGTCTGTGTGGCTGGGCATTGAGCAACGTGTCTGTGGGGCACCGTGCATGCCTGAGTAAATGTCTGTATGACTCTGTAAAGGGAGGTGAGGGTGGACAGCAGACTCAGGTGTGTATGTGAGCTTGGTTCGGAAAGGCAGAAATGGCAAAATGTACGTGTTTGCTTGAGTCTGAGTGAGGGCATGGATGCTGTTGCTCTTGTGTTTGGTTTAGTGTGAGGCCAGGCTGGAGAGCCTGAGGGTATTTATATTCTTTGGAAATGTGTAGCTGTGTGTGTGCGAAAGCAAGAGAGTGTGAAGGAGGAAGTCACAGGCTCCTTAGGGAATAGAGTGAGGAGTGACCTGTGGGAGACTGGCACCCTGCTGTTCTCTAGCCTCACAGTGTGTTCTGATGAAGCTTTCCAGGTTTCTAACATGTGGCTGAGGTTGGAAACTATATTCATTCAGATCATTAATAACTACCATGCACTAGTCCCAAATGACTTGTTTTGCAAAATTAAATGGTCTGATCTACAGAGAAATTATCCTTTGAGTCTGGAGGAGGGGCTGTGTGGTTTGCTCACCTGCTCTAAAGGTGAACAAATAGGGATGGGGACACACTGGACCGCCTTCCCCCAGCATGACGATATTTGGAGGGTAAGAACCTCCTTAGTCCAGTCTTTGTCCAAATGGGACAACTGAAGCTCCCAAAGGAGAAGGATCTTCAGGAGCCACCTGCTAAGAGTCAGGGGACTCAGTAGACTCCCAGTACAGGCCCTTCCCAAGGCCAAGAGAGCCTTCTACAGAGGTGACCCTTCGACAAAAAGAAGAGGGGCAACCATGCCCCTAGGAGAGACTCCCCAAGCCTCATCCCCTCTATCACCAGACCTCCCCTGGCCTCTCTAAGCCATTCTTCAAACCTGACAATGCTCCCAACGGTCAACTATGCCATTTCTGTTTCAGTCCTCATGTCCTTCCCCTGAATGGACTCAACACCCAGACACATTCTCCAGACCCATCTCCAGTTCATTGATTCACTTGAATACCTCAACCCCTCTCTAGACCCTGGTAGACTCCTAACCCCAGTCTCAGTCCCTACTCTCTTT